ATCTGATCATGAGGAAACAAACAAATCAAAATTAAGTGATATTCTACAAATAATTGGCTTGTAATCTTCAAGGTCACGATGGTCAAGGAAAAACTGAGGAACTCTTCCATACTGAAGAAGACTAAAGAGACATGACTAAATGCAACACATAATTCTAAACCAGATCCTCTTGCTAAAAACGACGTGGTTGGGACAAATAGGGGAAGTTGAATGGAGTCTGAATGGTAGTAATGTATCAATGTTGGTTTCCTGATGTTGATCATTGCACTCTGGTTACGCAGAAGAATGTCTTTGAAATACATGCTATAATACGAGGGAGTGATGGGGCATCAAGTAAGCAACCTGCTCTCAGACCATTCAGGAAACAGAATTCTCTGTTGTGAACTACTTGCAACTTTTCCATAAGTTTGAGGGTATTTTGGAATAATTTTTAAATGAAGATATTCAAGAGTATGTAGCCTATGATATCATTTATATCATTTGTTAGTCTGCTAGTGGATGGATGAGTAGATGGCATGAAGGGAGGAAGGAAGGGTGAATGGATAGAGAGAGAAAGAGGGATAAAACAGATTGGAAGAACACATAAGAACACATAAAAATGCTTACATTAACTAGCCCTATATGATGGGAAAATACGTTTGTTTTTGTTTTGTTGTTGTTCTCTGATTTATTTCTTTTCCAAGTTTTCTGAATTGACCTGTTTTCTTGTATAATGGAGGTAATAGAAGCGGAAGTAATTTGAAAAAAAAGAACAAACAAAAACAATCCTCTCTACTGCAGAAGTTGATTAGCTGATTCATTCCATGCACAAACTCTTCCTTCTCTTTTGTCAATCTCCAGGTAGTCATCTAGGGAGAATCATGTGAATGATTCAGCTCAGGCCAATGAAACAAGCTCAGGCCAGGCCAATGAAACAACAGCAAAAGTCTGCTGGGGAAGCTTTTGGGAAAGCTTTTGCCTTCCTGATATAAAGGGATATATTCAGCAACACATGTCTTCATATTTTTAACAATTTTCTTGAGATATAACTCACACACAATATGACTTACCCATTTAAAGTGTACAAATCCATGGTTTTTAATATAATCACAGTTATGCAGTCGTCACCACAAGCAATTTTATAAAATTTTAGTCACCCCCAAAAGAAACTCCATATCTATTAGCAGCCACTTCCCATAACCCCCAACCCCTCCCCAGCCTTAGGCAGCCCCTAATGTACTTTCTGTCTCTAGATTTGCCTAATCTGCATATTCCAAATAAATGGAATAATATGATATGTGATTTCAAATAAATGGAATCATATTATATACAATCTTTTGTGATGTAGCATATGGCTTTCATGGTTCATCCATGTTGTAGCAAGCATCAGTACTTCATTACTCTTTATGGCCCAATTATATTTTATTGTTTGGATATCTGTCCATTACCCATTTATCAGTTGATGGACATTTGAGTTTGCTTCCATTTCTTGACTATGCATTATGCTGCAGTAAACATTCATGCACAAGTTTTTGTACATATATGTTTTCATTTCTCTTGGATATATACCTAGAAGGGGAATTGCTTGTTCAAATGATAACTCTATGTTTAATATTTTGAGGAAATGCCACTCTTTCCCAAAGCAGCTATAACATTTTTTATTCTCACCAGCAATGTATGAGTGTCTTCACATTGTGTCCCTCCCTTCTCCTTCCTGCACAAATACAATCCTGATGCCTAAAAGCAGAGTGACCAGCTTAAAACTAGGAGGCATAAACACGAAGATGCTAATGGCTTAGCAGAAAGACATAGTCTGGATTTCTACCTACCTCCAGACTTACTATTTGGGAGGAAAAAAAAAAACCTTATATGAATAAGCTACTCTAAGTGGGGGTCTTCTATTAAGTACAAAGAAAGAAAACCTGTGATGCCCCCAAACATCCAATGTCATTATATTCAGAGGAAGAAATTTCTTCCTGATCTTTATATGTATACTAATTTATAACAGAACCATGTTTTAACAAGTTGGAGCTGTATGAGACGTGTAAATGGTCTTGAAATTTTAAGATAAACTAATGTATTTTCATTTTATTTACTCTAAATTTTTATGAAATTTCTTCATTATTATTCAGTTAATGCAATAAATCTTAATAAAGACTGATATCTGAACTAAGAAAAGTACGTGAAAGAGTAAACAAAGGCATTCTAAGCACTTTACAAATGAACTCATTTAGTCCTCTAAACTCTGAGCTAGGTAAAACTTACTATTCCCACTCTACAAATAAAGAAACTGGGAAACAGAGTTTAAATAACTTGCCCATGTCATGTGGCTAGCATCAGAGTCAGTATTCAAAGTCAGGCAGAATACCTGCTTACCCCTACACTGTGTTGCCTCCACTGTACAGCAATTTAGCAATTTTAGAACAGAAAATTAATCATTAGTAGTCTAAAAATGTATACAGGTAGGCGTGTGTGTATTCATGTTCATTAATGCTAAATGCTACTTTCATGGTGAGATGGGTGGTAAGGGAACAATATTTTTTAGCACCCACTATGTACCAGATACCGTACAAAATATTCAACAAGCATTATCTCATTATTTCCTCATAACAATGGGGAAGACGATACCATCTTCATTTATGGGAAAAGAGTGTGAGGCCCAGTAACGTTAAGTAACTTGCCCAATTTCACACAACTAATAACTAGCAATGCTGAATATAATATCAAGTCTGTCTTGTTCAAAGCAATGCTCTTTCTACTACACAATAATGATTACCTATTTAGATTTTTCAGACACTTAAGCTATAAACTCAACATGACTGTATAAACTGTTATGGCTTTACATTTATTACCCTTATCTGTTGATAATCACTCATAGACTTTGAAAATATTTTCCCACCTTTTCTGCTAAAATATCTAAAATTTCTACTAGGATACATTTAAAATTGAAAACACAATTGCCTAGATAACAATACATTAACCCTTCATCATGTTTTGAAAGAATTATTCTATAAGCCCAGCTAGTCACTGGAGAAGATCCACACTGATCATTTTTGTACTAGTTCAGTAACAATTATCTATCTGCCTGGGCCGTATCCTTTTAGGCTTGCCTAAAAATAAGTTTTCCTGAACTTGCTATTTCCTCAAGCTAGAGGCATACCAGGTTCTAACATCAAAGACAGCTTGTTCCTAGAGATAGGCAAGCACTTAAAACGCCACTCTTGGTCTACCTTCTGCTTCACAGGTCTTACCTACACATATTTTTATCAGGGTCTGAATAAAAATTTTGTCAATATTTTAACTTAAAAATGTTACAAGGGGCTACTTTTAGAAAATGTGCTCAGGGGAAATCGCTGCCTACTTTCATAAATCAACAATCTGATCCCATGGCAATGATCTACCCTTTCCCCCACTACTTCCCAATATGGTTAGAGTAGACAATATATTTTATCCATAAGTCAGACCTGCTAGGCATGGATTTACTTTCTCACCTCTTGAATGTCCCTTCTTCCCATTCTATGCTTATTCCCACCTCTACATCTCTGCTTAAGCTATACCCTGCAGCTGAATGCCAGCTCTCCTCTCTAACTTACTGTCATTCTAGGCCCAACTAAATCACTAGTCCCTGAAGACTTCCCAATACTCATAAGCCCACTTTGAGCTTTACCTTCTGCGTATTCTCATTAAAGCCTGTACTTTCTCATCCAATCCTTGATTACATTCTGCCTAAGTTGTTCATGAGTTGTCGCTCTTATTCTTATGACCATTATGTATATTTTCTAGAAGATCGATCAAGTCACATCTTTTTCTTTCATCTCCTCAAGCATATAGCACAGTGATTAAAAAATGCATTAAATAAAGTAATAATATAAATAAGATTATAGCTTAAGAAACCAATCTACTTTTAGGTCCACATACCTGAAAAAATATGACTAACAAAAATCATCTGTTTATTAAACTAAACCCCAAAATTTATTAAGTTCTTTCAAGAATGTTACAATTTTGCTTTGAAGTTATAATACCAACATTCTTAAAATATATTTATTTGCACTTTTATTTCAGACTCCAAACCCAGTATGTTGAGATTTTGCCGATACATTAAAATATGCATATTTCTTACCAACATTTATGGCCACAACCTAAAAATAATCTTTGGATCATAAGTTTTGTACTGTAAGAGCCTAGTTTACATGTTTGAAATCACAATACATGATCTATATTTACACAACAGAATTGTGTGAAGAATTAAATTACATCCCAAATTATCATTTCATTAATACTTAGAATATTTCATTACGCAGGCAAGTATTAACAAGTCTACTATACATTTTTTTCTATTAATGTGTCTGAAACGACCATAATTAGTCCAATGACATAGCTTAAGCAGTAGGTAACTGTATGTTACTCTTTAAGTGTGGAGAAATTAGTTTTCATTGAACCTTTCACACAAACATGCCACGCAATCTGAGTCATGAAAAAATAAACTTGCATTTTAGACCTTTGGAAATCACTGGTTATAGGTGGCTTCACACCTAGTGGAAAGGAGCAGACTATTTAAATTAACTCTATTTAAAATTAAATAGAAAAAATAAAAACATGTTGCCAAATGAGAGAGACAAATTTTCTACTGATTCAGTTATTATTTGGATTTCTAAAGCACATGGCCAGAAACAGAAGAAAGATTAAAACATTTGAAAGAATATTACCAGTAGTACTTAATAAAAAAGCTAATGATGAGTTTTCCATAGGAAAAGCATATCACAAAGGAAAAAAAAAGGTGAATGTATTCACCAAGAAGTGTCATTTAATTTCCCCATAAAGACAAAATTAACATCAAAAATTACATTAATTCACTACTTCATTAAATATAGATTTAGTAATCTCTCTGTACCTGAATAAAAGAAAGATAAAAACAAATACATTTTCTTCCTTGAAGGTTTATTAGAATTTGTACCATAAAGAATTTCTGGACATTTTCTTTTTAAATGTATTTTGCAAGGACATAAAAAGGGCAATCATACCTGTTTTACTAATAGCTTCCTGTAACTCAGCCATAGAACTGATTATTGCAGCAAGAAGGTCAGAACTGGTGAGCCAACTGAGAGTTTGCAAACAACGTAACTGCTCCTTTTGATGTTCTGCAGAAACATAAAAAAATCCATTATGCAATTCTACAAAAATTTATTAAAATCCATTTTAAAATTATGGCAATATTTAGCTATTTAAGAAGTAGATCAAAATTTGTATGTAGAACTTCACCTAGTGCAGAGAAGTCTACAATAGATGTGAGATTTTATTGACTTTATTTACGGTTCAATTTTTCCATATAAGAGAAGTCAAATAATGTATTTGATCATGAAACAAACAGGCATTTTATTAACTCCTCTCTATAGATAATGGTAACTGACATCATAAAAGAAAAGGGAGAAGGAAATTTTATTTAGCTCTACTTACTTAATAGCTTGCTTTTCAAAAGTTAAAAACTGAAATAATTGTTTCCTCAGAATAGTCAAGCATTCAAAAAAGTTAGCTATAAAACTTACATTAGTTTCATTTTCATTCAATTCTTCAACAGATTTTTAACTCTGATCATTTTATACTAATTCAAAGAAAGTGAAAGTAAATTATGCTAATTAATTTTAAATAGGGCAGAGTTTCTGGATTGACTTTATTGAAAAATCGCTGTACAAACTTTTCAATTTACTGTCAAAAGAACATTCAAATATAATAAAGCTAGACAAAGTTGAAATCATATATATTTGCTACTTTCTTTATATTTTAATGTTTATAACAAAAAATTAAAGCCTAATTTATAAATACACACTTATTCATACACACATACATATCTACATATGTATGTACATATGTTACATGATTTGACATTGTAAATGATTTTTTTATGTTTTTGCCCAACATATTCACTTCGTATGTCACTTACATTCGACTCAGATTTTTAAAAGCACAAATTATCTTACTTGGAAATTTATGCTTGTCTTTGGGCTCTCCTATACACACTAACATGCCTATGCCTTCTTTGAAACTCTCCATCCAGGTAAAAAGAGACGCACATGACTGGCCCAAAATCTTGAGTCTGTTTGCTGCCAAAATTGCAATAACACCTTTCCGGAATACACGTATTAATCCTTTGAATGCTTTTTTCTTCATCTTGGCTTCCTCTTGCTTCTTTTCCTCTACAATTGACAAAGCCTGGGCTAGAGTTCTAACTTCCAATTTTAACAACTCAAAGGTGTTGACCTGCTCCTGGAGAAAATCTCTCTGTGTGGATAAGGCAGATGATCGGCTATACAGAGGATATAAGGCACCAGCCATCAATGCGCAGGCCGCCAGCAAGGATGTTTGTTCCCTTTTAGTCTGTGATAACAAGTTTTTGAAATGTGTGTTTTCAACAACCAATTGTTCATGTGACTTCTCAATATGGTTCAACTTTTCCATATTTTTTTCAGCAATTTCTTGAAATTTCTATAAGAAAAGTCAAATAATATATTTGATCATGAAACAGGCATTTTATTAACTCCTCTTTTAAAAAAGAAAAACTTTTGCTGACAACTATTTCTTTTTCTTCAAAAGATCTATGTTCTAAAATATCCAAAAAATACATATGATAGAGCAACAGTGGGCCAAACAGCTTAGAAATGTGCACAGTAATTTTTAAATCCCTTATATGGAAGCTTTACACAAAGTAGAGCACATACATTTAAAAATGCTTTGTAAATTTCCTGTATACTTATGCATAAATACACATATTCAGAAAAAGAAAATTTCTTCTCTTCCATTCCTCAGTAACATGTATTTCCTACTTTTAAACAGAAATCACACCAGCATTAGAGGCTTTTCTATATGTAAAAAGACTTAACTTTTTGTCAAAATAGCAAAGGGTTAAATAAATAATACAATACACAGCATCTGACTATCTGCCATTTACTAGACGAGAGGGGACTGATTCTCAGAGCATACTCTCTTATTTCAGTTTCTTCCTCCCCAAGACAGAAGGCTGTACAAAGTACAGCTCCAGTGCTGGGAGTAAATACTAACTGTGGGCTGGGCCTCAGCAGCTCTCTGGTCCTTTTTTCCTGATCAAGATACTTATAATTCAAAACTTAATATGCAACACACAGAAATTTTAACTGCAGGCACTGGATTTTAATCACTAGAAAATAAACTAGCTCTCCCCATGAAATCTTATACCTAATCGTTAAGGAACTGTTGAAATAGAGTAAATTTAGAAGATAACAGATGCCAATTTCTTTTACTGATGCATTTATCATTCGATAAACATTTACTGATTGCTCACTAAATTCCACACGCTAGGAAAACAGACAAATAAATCAATGATTGTGGTATAATGCTGTGATGGAGCTATGCTAGATTGCCAGAGATGCACAAAAGGATGTTTATACCAAATGACGTTGACCGGCTTTTGGAGGAATATGGCAAAGGACAAGTGGGAGTGAGATGTGTAATAGAAAGAACAACAACAAAAAACACTCAACTCCACCAATAAGGAGGCTAGCCAATAGCTACCCTTGTAATAAAACTTAATCTAATCTAGTCCATGGTGATTTAACAGCTTTAGCTGAATCTTTACTTAACCAAATAAGCTGCCCTGGCTTGTCCACGGACTTCGTTCTTTTTAAAACAGGCCAAGGGAGTTCAATTTGAATAAAGGGGTCAGTCAGAGACAGAGAAAAATCATGCTCTATATAAAGTGAAGTAGTATCTTCATTATGAGAGAATCCTTTTGGGGGCATTAAGGAAAATATTTCTCTTTGTATTATTGGTTCAGGTCACACTCCGTCTGAAATTTAACAATGGTCCCTGGGAAAGGTTTACAGTGAGTGTCTGATTCAAGAGTTATCCACGAACAACTAGAACAATCAGAGGCATTTCCAAAATTTACATTGGCAGGAAGACTTCAAAGGTGTTCAGACTTAGAGAAAATCATACAAACTCTTAACTACTCTGCAAGATTTGGGTGTCAAAGCCTACCGTGGACAATGTTGACAGGAAGTAGACAAAAGGATTCAAACTTGTCGAAACACATGGCTGAGGAAAGTAACCCCCGGACCAAAACCAGTCCTGAGGCTAGGGGATGAGGTTCCCAAAGGTGCACGGTGAGTAGAAGGAGGCACTCAGAAGTATAACCCTGAATACAAACGAGTAAAGGAAGTATACAAGAGGCCACTCTCTGATGGATTCAACTTCTTGAATGCTTTCCCTTGGGCAGGAGGGAAATTGGACTTAGTCTTGGTTTTAAATGTTTCTCTGCTATACTTTAATTTCCTTTATTTACTCCAACTATTCTCTGAAGTCTGGTCCAGCCGTACCTGTGATGGTACTGTGAGAAATAAAGGAATGGGGAAATAAGGGAATTGTAGCTTGCTCCAACCACATCTCTACTGATAGCCAAGTTGTGGCAGCAGTAGTTTATCAATGGGCCTGTGCCCCAGAGCTCCATATAAAGACCACTAGTAAAGGTCATGGTGTTCCACTGGGAGCAGCTGGAAGATGGAAGAAACTCTGAGAGCCAAGTAGACGGCTTAGAAGCAGACGTACAACAGCCTTTATGAAAAGGGAAAACTGACACAAGTTACAGCTAGAAAAAGCAGGAAGACTAGCATATAGCAAAGGAAGAGCCAGAAAATAGAGTAATGTGTTCTAAGGAAGTATAAATAATTCAGAATGTCTGAAGAGGAAAATGATGGAAATTTGAGAAGTCTGTAGATAATAAATGATTAAGCTAAAGAATTTAAACTTTACCCAGAAAGCTATCAGAAACCATAAAAACTTGGGACAGTTGCTAAGCTTTAGTAAATGGATGGGAAAATTGGAAACATTAATAAAGACTGCCTGAGATAGCAGCAGAGTTGCAGGGAGTAGAGGGAGCAAATGGAAATTACAATGTTTAATTCCATATTCTCTCCGAAATCAACTCCACCAGTTCATTTAGAGAAAAAAAGGAAAATTATAGAAAATCTGGGATAAAAGAGATGCACTGGTCATGCCTAAGTAATGGAAATAAAAATGAACCTAATCAGGGTGGACCTGAGCGTCCTGAGGGGAAACGGCGAAAAGGAGGCGCAGGGTCCGGCTGGAGCGTCAGCGTCCCTCCTCCTGACTGCGGGGAAAGCGGCTTAAAACTCATCCCTAGGCTCTCAAGCCCCTTATTCAGCCAAGTCCCTCTGAGCTCCTTCCTCCCTGAGCTAAAGTACCAGGGGGGACGGGACAGGGGAGGGGACTGGCACAGGTAATGGGGAACATCAAAAGATGATTGTTAACTAAGGAAAACCAGCTATCCCAAGATCACTCATCCTGGGTTAAGCCAGCTGCCATGTCATGAGGACACTCAAGCAGCCCTAAGGAGAGATCCATGTGGGAAGGAACTGAGGCCGCCTACCTACAACCACAAGTTGCCAGGTTGCCACCTGCTAAAGAAGAGGATATGTCACCAATACCTGCCATTGGAATTTCTCCCCGGGCACAGTCTGCACAACAGTAGTTCTCCTTGCTTCTGTGTCTGCCCTTTGGAGGATGAGGCTATCTAAGAGTCTTGTGCAGAGGACCTTCAAGATGGCAGAAGAGTAAGACGTGGAGATCACCTTCCTCCCCACAAATACATCAGAAATACATCTACATGCGGAACAACTCCTACAGAACACCTACTGAACGCTGGCAGAAGACCTCAGACCTCCCAAAAGGCAAGAAACTCCCCACGTACATGGGTAGGGCAAAAGAAAAAGGAATAAACAGAGACAAAAGGATAGGGACGGGACCTGCACCAGTGGGAGGGAGCTGTGAAGGAGGAAAGGTTTCCACACACTAGGAAGCCCCTTTGCGGGCGGAGACTGCGGGGGGCGGAGCGGGGGATGCTTCGGAGCCGTGGAGGAGAGCACAGCAACAGGGGTGCAGAGGGCAAAGCGGAGAGATTCCCACACAGAGGATCGGTGCCGACCAGCACTCACCAGCCCGAGAGGCTTGTCTGCTCACCCACCGGGGCGGGCGGGACTGCGAGCTGAGGCTCCGGCTTCCGTCGGATCCCAGGGAGAGGACTGGGGTTGGCGGTCCTGAAGGACCTTCACAGCCTGAAGGAGGCTAGCGCGCCACAGCTAGCCGGGAGGGAGTCCGGGAAAAAGTCTGGAGCTGCCGAAGAGGCAAGAGACTTTTTCTTCCCTCTCTGTTTCCTGGTGCGCGAGGAGAGGGGATTAAGAGCGCTGCTTAAAGGAGCTCCAGAGACCGGCGCGAGCCGCGGCTATCAGCGCGGACCCCAGGGACGCACATGAGACGCTAAGGCTGTTGCTGCCGCCACCAAGAAGCCTGTGAGCAAGCACAGGTCACTCTCCACACCTCCACTCCCGGGAGCCTGTGCAGCCTGCCACTTCCAGGGTCCCGTGATCCAGGGACAACTCCCCCGGGAAAACACATGGCGAGCCTCAGGCTGGTGCAACGTCACGCCACAGGCTCACCCCGCATCCGTACCCCTCCCTCCCCCCGGCCTGAGTGAGCCACAGCCCCCGAACCAGCGGCTCCTTTAACCCCGTCCTGTCTGAGAGAAAAACAGACGCCCTCAAGCGACCTACACGAAGAGTGGGGCCAAATCCAAAGCTGAGCCCCTGGGAGCTGTGCGAACAAAGAAGAGAAAGGGAAATCTCTCCCAGCAGCCTCAGGAGCAGCGGATTAAATCTCCACGATCAGCTTGATGTACCCTGCAGCTGTGGAATACCTGAATAGACAATGAATTATCCCAAACTGAGGAGGTGGACTTTGGGAACAACAATATATATATATTTTGTCCCTTTTTCTCTTTTTGTGAGTGTGTATGTGTATGCTTCTGTGTGTGATTTTGTCTGGATAGCTTTGCTTTTACCATTTTTCCTAGGGTTCTGTCTCTCCAGGTTTTTTTGTTTGTTTTTTTTTTAGTATAGTTTTTAGCACTTGTTATCATTCGTGGATTTCTTTCCTGATTTGGTTGCTGTCTTCTTTCTTTCCTTTTTTAATACTGAAAAAATTTTTTTAATAATTATTTTTTATTTTTTATCTTAATAACATTATTTTATTTTATTTTATCTTCTTCTTTCTTTCTTTCTTTCTTTTTTTTCTCCCCTTTAATCTGAGCCGTGTGGATGACAGGCTCTTGGTGCCCCAGACAGGCATCAGGGCTGTGCCTCTGAGGTGGGAGAGCCAAGTTCAGGACACAGGTCCACAACAGACCTCCCAGCTCCATGTAATATCAAACGGCGAAAATCTCCCAGAAATCTCCATCTCAATGCCAAGACCCAGCTCCACTCAACAATCAGCAAGCTACAGTGCTGGACACCCTATGCCAAACAACTAGCAAGACAGGAACACAACCCCATCCATTAGCAGACAGGCTGCCTAAAATCATAATAAGGCCACAGACACCCCAAAACACACCACCAGACGTGGACCTGACACCAGAAAGACAAGATGCAGCCTCATCCACC